ATCTACTGATTTTACAGAGATTAGAATAACATAATACTACAATTAGGATAGGGCATAAGCTGGCGGGGCGTTCATTTACTCCATGTTCCCTCTCACGTTTTCACTTCTCTCTTAATTTAGTGGATTAGAATAAAAAAAATGTTTTGAATGTGTTGCATTCCATTGTTTGATATTTGTATGTTTAATATTTTTTTGTATTTAATTTGCATTCTCAATCAAGTGTTTATGGCGGGCGTAATTAATTATTGGGATAACTTCAAATAAGTTTGATGTTTTCTGCTGAACGTCTTATAATAAAGTATTTGACACACTCCGCTCAAAAAAAAATTATAGCCGTCTGATTCTGTATGAATTTAGGTTTTCAATTTTCAGTTGGTTCTAATTTGGCTATTGGACACGTGCCGTGGTGCTTTAATTATGCGTCTTAAAATGTATTTTGAATTACTTGGATATTCTCTAGGTTACTTTTTACGGCTCCACTCAGACAGGGCAAGCGTAAGTAAGTGATCGTCTAAAAATGAATTTGAATGATGGTATTTCATTTCATATTAAAAGGAAAATATATGTAAAATAAGATGCGAGGAGATGGGATATTGGTGGTATTTGCACAATTAGTTCAATTGTCTATTTGAAATCAGTTCCAAATCGGAATCGATATTTTGTGTAATCCCTCCAAAAGTTGTATGACGCTATTCGAAGGAAGACGGAAATATGTGAACAATATAAATATTTTTAATATACTATTACAGATAGTTCGAGACCATTTGCTTCTGTTACAGCATCACTAGTTTGATATGTGGGAGAAAAATATATTGAGATGCAAAGAAACGATAGCATAACCCGACTGCTAGGTTTGCCGTTTTATTACCATATTTATTTGTTCTTGATGGAATACATCGTTTAGTATAATTACTTTGCAGATGTGTTTTTCGATTTATGTGAGTTAAATATCTGAGCTGAGTTAATATATACATTGGATAAGATACTCTAGCTTATGGTTGGCTAAGATTTGAGAAAGGCTTCAAAAGGGAATCTATTTTTTATTCGAGTGTCGGTTGGATTTTTCGGTAGTTAGAAATGGGATGCCGCTGGGATGTTTGTTAGATTTTGGTAGAAATTATGTGATAAACGAGCTATTTGGTTTATTACTGTATTGATGTTTAATTGGGAATGGAGTTGTTTATCACTTATGAACCAGGGGGCATTTATATAGTTTGGCCTTATTATAGTTTTATGAATTGTTGTAGGGTTTGTGTATGGCAGGAATTTGCGTTTGTGGATTAGTGGCCGGAGTTGGAATAGTTTATTACTTCTTTATTTTTTATGTCTATAGGGGTTTTCCAGGTTAGATTTGTGTCCAGGTGAACTCTTAAGTATTGTATGGGTTGTGGTGGTGGGGTTCAGATTATGGGAAGCAGTTTATTACTAAAGGGGGGGAGGTAAAATTTCTGAGTGAGAGTATTTTTGCTGTTGTTTTGTCAGGAATACGTTGAATTTTCCATGTTTATCCCAGGATTCAATTTTGTTTAAGTGGCTTTGAGTTTGTGATCGGACGTTATTTACTGAGTATCCTGAGGCAAATAGTGCTATATCATCTGCGAATTGAGCTATATTAGAAGTTTGTGATGAAGGAAAATCTGCGACGTATATGTTGATTAATGTTGGAGATAGAGAGACCCAAGTGCCAGATTCTCTCAAATGTTTGTGTTATGCCCAGGAATGTAGATATTGTGTGTTGCTTTTTTTTGAAAGGCAGAGTGGATATGTTCTGTTATTCTAAGTATTTGGTGTGCAGTTGAGTGGTGAGCAATGAATCCGAATGGATATTTGGTGATTATATTAATGTTATTGAGATGTTGGTTTAATCTGGCTAAAATGAGTTTTTCGAATATCTTAGCAATAACAGGTAATAGATTGGCGGACCGATAACTGTCTACTTCGGATTGATTTTTATGTGGTTTCAGAATGGTGTGAATGATTGCATGTTTCCAATTTGGGGGAAGTATCCAGTTCATAAAATGGAATTATAAATCTTGTACAGGAAGGCTAATGCTGACGGTGGGAGATTTGTTTAAGATGATTAAACTGATTTAATCGTGTCTGGAGGCTTTCTTGTTCAGGAGTTTCGCGAGGAGAGATGTATTTTATTCTGTGGGGTATGTTAAGGATGGGGGAAGAGGCTATTTGAAGGACTTGGGTGTTCTTTGAGTGGAAAGGAGGATTATTTGGTGTAAAAGGTATTTTGGAAATGTTTTGCTAATGCTTCAGTTTTGACTCTATGGGAGTGAATTTTGCCTGTGTTTGTTGGTAGATTTGGAAT